TTTTTATCATCATTATTTTCTTTATTTATTTTTATTATTTATATTTTCATAAAATAATCCATTTTATCTATTTTCCTTGAACTATTAATTGTTTAAATTAGAAAAAGCATAACTTTTCTATGACTTTGATACTTAGAATACTCTGAATAATTTATTACTATGATTCTGTATACTTACAGGAGTGATCAATCTTACTCCAAAATTTATAATTCCTTATTTAGAAATTTTATAGTTCAACTAGTTTATACAAGATTTATAAGTAAATATGTTTTTACATTAGCTGAGTTGTAAATTAAACAAGTGTGATAATTTACAAGTCCTCCTCCAAATTTTACAACCCAACTATTGTTAAAACCAAAAATGATATTTTTAATTAATTACGAGTGCTTCTACCGGTGAGAGTGGTATGATGATCGATCAATAGGTATATAGATGGTCAAAGTTGGTCAAAAATGTTATTTTGTTTTTCCAAGAGTAACAAAAACATTAGTCTTTTAGCATTTATTCCTAACTTCGAAAATTTTTGGTATTAATTTTTTTATAGGGTCTTATATGTAATTTTCTAGAGTATTATCTATAAATTTCCTTATCTACTAAAGATCAAAATAACAAAAGCTTAATGGAGGGAAAATATTGTTCTTGAAAAATTAATGGGTGAAAATGTACCTTAACTTTATATTGATATATTGACAATGATAATTGCAATGTATATATATATATATATAAACTTTCGAGTGTTTAATTTTATGTTGTAAGAATTTAAATCTGTCTTTCAACTTACTAATTTAATTTAGAAGGCCCAAATCATTTAATTAACGAAATATTGTTTAATTTAGAAGGTCTCATTATTAAAGAATTGATATGATATAGTGGTCTAACATATATTGCAGCCATCATCACGCGCTATCCTAATTAATTATACCTTGATTGCTTGTTTATCAAAATGACCCATGTGCATATGTCTGCATCGACGACTAATAAATGCAAAACACAAGTTTGATTCTTTACAATGAACCCTTCCATTCACATCCCATAACTAATTTCACAATCAAGCATCACATAAATTTTCATGAGCCCTATATCCAAATCTGCATTTAATGGAATGGGACTAGAAACGAGGAAAATAACATTAACCAAAGGGCAGAGCCCAACAGTACTAATTTATCTTGTCCTTGATCATTTTTTATTAAAGAAGAAAAACTGAGATTCGATTATCATTATGGTCAATAAAGGCTTGACTTCATTTAGCAATTCCTTGGTGTGGGAACTCTAAATTAAATCCGCAAGGATTTAAATGAAGATTAAATTTGTTGGTATTTATCAATTCATTTTATAGTAGAATATGATGCATTTGCATTTAGATCAATTTATTGATAGATCTTGTAATTTACTACTATCAATTATAAATTACTAATAGGTTTTATAATTTACAACTGATATTAGTAAATTAACAAGTAAAGTTAGTAAATTAATAACTAACGATACTAATTGTTTGATAAACTAATGTAATTTACAAGTGATATTGATAAATTAACAAGTGTAGTAAAAAAAATTAAAAATTAATGATTTTACATAACAAGTGAAGGGTATTTTGATCATTTCACAGTTAAAATTCTTTTAACTTTTCTTTCCCAAACTAAACTGAAATTTCAAAATTTTTTTGAATCCACCTATAATTAATTCTCTACAACAGTCCTTAACTAAAATTTTCCCAAAAAAAAAGGCACCTTCTTGTCATTAGTGACCCCGCCGGTGGTAAGGGCTCTAGCGACCTTACTGTCAGTAGGGGTCCAACGCCCAGTATCAGTGACATTTTTATTTAAGGAATATTTGGTTTAGGTGGCCAAGGGAGGGTTTGATCCCATGACCCTTTAACCACCTAAAAAGCTTGGTGACACTAGGCCACCAACCCCTTTAATTATATATACAATATATATGTATATATATAAGTAGCAAATTAAGCTTCTATCTACTTTCATTTTATAACATAATAGTGTATTATTAATTCATGAACTGCACTTGCTATTTATTAATGTTACTTGTTAATCTGACATCAACAACTGTAAATTAGGAGCTTTAAAATTTCATGCATTTTACTTATTAAATATCTGAATGTATTGCTGTTAATCACTAATATGTTGTTGAAGAATGACTAATACGTACAATTAAGCATGTCATATCAATTTTTTTAACTTGTTACAACCTAAATAGATTATTTTTAATTTCAAATAAATTATTGTGAAAACTTAAATTTATTCGTGTTGATTAAAGACTAACATTTGTACAATTAAGCCCATTTTATTCGTTTTTCTAATTTGTTAAATCCTAAATGGAATGTTGTCAATTTATAATAATTTATTGTTAAAACTTGAATAGATACTTATTGATAAAAGACTAGCACATATAATTAAGCCCATCTTATCTATTTTTCTAACTTGTTAAAGCTTGAATGAACTATTAATTTAAAATAAGTTGTGGTTAAAACCCAAATGGTTTGCCACTTGTGTGTGTGTGTGTTTTTTTTTTTTTTTTTTTGCATATATAGTTAAAGTGGTCACTAAACCTTTTAGGTGACCATAAGGTTTTGGAATCAAACCCTTCCTTGACTATCTAAATCAAATATTCCTTGAATAAAAATGCCGCCCCTATCAATGGCTAGGGCTCTAATGACCTCACAGCAGTAGGGATCTAGTGGCTGACGATGGTAGGGAGGTGGCTTTTTTTTTTACTTTTAAGGGTAATTTGATCTTTTGACATCACAAATTAATATCAATCAAAGAACAAATGATTGTATTGAAATTTTAAAGTCAATTGATTCTGTATTGAAATTAATTTGGTATTGAGGTCTATGGTTGCTATTTTTCTTTCTTCTTTTCTGTTTTAACATCTTTCACACATATATTAAGGATCTTTGGATAATAATTAATATAATTCTATACAAATTGAATGTAGAACGAGAAATCTTGCAAGTACTTGCAGTTTATAATATCATCTATACTTTATTTAATAAAAATATGACATGTCAAATGAGTGTGAATATAAATTTATTTTGTTATTCATGATGACATTGAGAGAGAAAAATAAAAAATTATAAATTTTAAAAATAAAATTATTAAAAATAATAATATATAATTATAATTTTATTTGATTGAACTAGCCGATAATAATATAACCTAATTTATTAGGTGAAATATAAAATTTTCGTGTAGAATAGTATAACACTTTTGAGGAGAGCCATGGCGTGGTATTGACTGTTGATACCAGCAGCTCACTTACTAGAAAGGTGCGGTGGGTGGGAAATAGTGGCTAACACTAGACTTCAACATGCGCCCCACTAATCCAGTCTTATTCAATCCATAGCTTGGGTTGCGTAAAAAATTGTGTCTTTGAAAAGTAAAATACACTACAAGAAGTTATAAATTATTTTCATGAGTCATTAAACATTTTATATAAAAAAAACAATAAAAAAGGAACCAGTCAAAAAATTCACAAATTTCTTATCCTAAGTTAAATAACTAAATCATCCCCGATTTTAATCAAGCCTACATCCTTAAAAATTGTTGGAATAATAAATTTTTCTAAAATTATAAATACAAATTGTTGAGGCTAGAATATAATATAAGATTAATGTATATTTTTGGTTTTTTAATTTTATATAACGGTCCAATTTGAACCCTTAATTTTATAAAGTATCTTATCAATTTTCTAACCCTAACACAGTTATTTTTAAATAATTTTTTTGTACCAATCATTTTATTTTTTAAAAAATTAATTTAATATATCAATATTTTAGAATATTTTATCAATATTTAAAATTTTAATGTAAAAAATTTTAGTAAAGAAACTAACGGTATTAGCATTAAAAGAATAAAAATACACTTTATAAATTTAAGAAATTAAAATAAAATATTATATAAAGTTAGAGAATTAAAAATACTCCCTCCGTTCAAAAATATAAATCATTTTTTAAAGAGTTGAATGTTTAAAAATATACGACATTTTTAGTTTTTTGAGTTATAATTATTACCTTTTTTTTTCAAAAGTACCCCTATTGATAATGACTTTATATTTATTATAGGGTATTTAATAAGGGTAAATATGAAAAGATAGGATTAGTGAAAAAGTAAGTAATTACTTTATTAAAGGTAAAATTTGATTAAAAATGTTTTATATTTTTGAACAAAGGAAGTATAGTTTAGCCATAATATAATGACATCATAAAATCTTCATAATCATTTTATTTACTGGAATAAGAATTCAGATTAATATCTTATTATTGGATAGACAAAAATTATTGGAACCCATTTCTAAGATGCGATGAGTCGTATGACTTGGATCCATCATCATATCTATCTCTTTCTTAATTAGTTACTCTACCACTCCTAAGACGATAAATGGAGGGGATTTTAATTAATGGTCCCTTATTTTTAGCTGTAGGCAAGAGAAAGGGAGAGATTTGTATTTTTTATTTTTTTTTTGTTTAAATGAGACTAAAATTATATAGATTATTTTTAATTGCGTCGGACTGATCACTGGTTAGAATGAAGAAACTAGATTACCGTATATAGTAAGTGTGAAACTTAACCGAATTAAATTCAATCGAACGGACACGATATGCACAGACATATGTGCGTGCCTAAGTCACATCTCATTAATTATTTTCAACCTTGGAGTACACATTTTTCTGACCAAACCACACAAAGACCGCCTCAAATTATAACAAACCAGAAGAGTCCAAGAGTGACATAACCCTCTGATTTTGAGATTCCTCATATTATGTCACAGAAATGAACATTTAAGTTGTTTCCTGGAACCTTTGCTCAAAAAACAAAAAAAAAAGTTGTTTCCTGGAAGCAACCATTTCTAGATTTTTTTAACCCAAGTCTCTCTCCCCGTCTCCATCAGAAGAAAAGTCAAAAAGTTGAACATTTTACTCTGACCAACACCAAAACGCCACACTTCTTCACGTATTACTATAAATACATTACTTCCAACCTTCCTTCTTTTCAAACCTCTGTGTTTCATTAAAGTCCTTGCCCTCCATTACCGATCAAAATTCACCAAACCTATGATCAGTGATCATACTATGATGACCACTGCAACTACCGACCAGTGGACGATGCAGTTCTATGACCAAAGTCCTGATCATGATGATGATATTAATAATCTTCTTCAGGTTTCGGCCATGGAAGGATTGATCTCTGATGCTAACACCATCGTGACGACGACGACATCCTCGTCGTCTAGCCCTAGTCCCACAAGCCCAAAGGCCGTTAATGGCTCCAGACCGATACGAAGAAGGTCGAGGGCTTCAAAGAGAACCCCAACAACACTACTCAACGCCAGCACCACCAACTTTAGGGCGCTGGTGCAGCAGTTCACAGGGTGCCCTAGTAGTACGGCCATGTCTTTTGAGGTCTATAAGGGACCTATCACCTTAAATTTCCAACAAGGAAGACGACAAGTCGTTCATCATAACACATCAAGGAAGGTCACGACGACGTTGCCGTTTGTAAACACAGGTTTCAGTACTGATGTCCATCATCAACATCTTCAGCATCAGCAACAGCAGCAGCTAGCAGATCAGCAACAATGGAGGCTGCAGCAAGATCATCATCATCATCAGCAGCAGCAGCAAACTGGTGATGATAATTTATTTGAGTATAACAGCGGTACTGACTTGTTTTCGAGTTCAATTAACTCGTCGAAGCCTAGCATGGAGAGATCTGATGAGTTGATCGTGGATCATAACTATAGTTTGCATGACTTGACCATGAATAATGATTTCTTCTCCAATAATAATGATGTTATTCAGAATGGTAGTTATTTCATGTGATACGGCAAGTTAATTAAGTCTTTTGTAAGGGTTCTTAACATAATCATGTAGATCTATCTCTTCTTCATTTATGTTAGAATAAGATAAAAAGTCCACTGTCCTTAATTACAAAGGTTATAGGGTGCAACTGTTTATTTTGTTTTTCAATTCAATTTCTTTCTTGGTTTATTAATTAGTGGAAATCACTATCTCAGTATTGTATTCATATCACAAGATATATAAATAGGCGCTTTAATTTTTATTATTGTTCTTTGTCTTGACCTTAATTAATTGCACTAGAGGGATGAGTTCTTTGCTCTTTTTTGCAAATTTTCTTTGGTTTCTATTATAAGACAACTCTAATTATCTTACCAGAACTAAAGAAAGGTAGTTAATTAAATTGTTAACTTTATCTAAAAATAGAATAAACTTTTAATTTTACCTCCTATTTAAATAAAAAATTTTTAAATTTACATTACATACTCACTTATAGTTAATGAGTTTAAATATGGATAATATTAAAAAAATTATAATTAATAGTCCATCAAGTGGCTTCTTTTAAAAACCAAATAATTCTTCTAAAACATGCCTTAAAATAGGAATCGGAGGGAATACATTAGAGAAGATTCTAAAATGAGTTGTTCATGTGATTTGTGAAAAACACAATTTTGGTAGATATATTGATTTTTCATATGAGAATGAACAATTTGGTCATACTTATTTTTTACAGAAAAATATTTTTTTATTTTTAAAGAAATACAATGTAAAATAAATTAATTTAAACAGGAGAACACACCTGCGCGCAGTAAAAAAAATTTATTGACTTTAAAAATAATGATTTAAATTAAAATTTTAAAATCTAACCCTTTTTAAGGTTAAAATTTTAAACGGTTCCCAAAAAAGAATCATCAAATACTTAAACTGATAACAGATTGTTGTTATGATTTTTATGGTTTCTGTACATGAAAATCAAGCATCAAGAGTTGAGCAATTATTCAACAGTTTCCATAAAGTTGTGAAATTGAAACCAAATTGGCGTGACATTTGATTTCAATTACATGCTAATTATGCTTGATCTGTTCATCCTGCTTCTTCACGCTTTTATATTTTTCAAGTCAAATCGTCACTCAGACAGAAAGTGGCGTGCAATGAATTTAGTCGATCAAGAAAGAAGCATATCATAGATGTGAGAGAGTCTTGGTCTCAAACGGTAGCTATATATTAAGAATTAAAAATAAGTGGCGATAAAGACGTAATACTCGAAGAATTTAGGTACTGTTGAAAATTATACTTTTATTTTTGTTAAATGATTTAATTTAATTATTAATGGTGAGAGATATATATTTAGTACAATAGAAACATTCAGCAGTGAGTGAACTCTACGCTATAATATTGCTCCTATTATAGTCAGTGATTCATCCTACCAAGTCAAAGGTGGCTTCAAATGCTCAATGGGAACGCGAAAATTCAAAGATGATGATCTTTGGTCAAAAGTCAAAACCCCTGGGTTAAGTAAAATTGCATCTAAGGACCCTCAACTTAGACGGTTTTGGTTTTGGTCAGAGACTTTGAAATTCCACATATATAAAAGAATTTAAAACTATAATTATTTTTTAACTATCAAAGAAATTGCTATCAAGCTTTTATTTAAAAGACACACACACATATTGGTGAGAGATACCATTACAAAATTTTCGAAAATTGTTGTCCTAGAAGATTGCTTTTTCACTATAAAAATAATTCCACTAGATGTCTGGGAATATTTTGGTGAGAGATACCCCATTAAGCTAGACTTTGAATAGTTTGGAAAGATTCAAATACATGTCTAAGAATAAGGCAAGGTTCTATTTTAATTTCCTTAAACATTTTATCCATTTGTAGTGCCAAACCCTATTCTTTAAAATCAAACACTATAATTTTCTTAAAAATTGATAGTAAATTCCTCGAAATAATTCTGATCATAAAAAAAGTTAATAATAAAAAATGACTATAATTTTCAAAATGGGTTAACGAAAATTCAGAAATATGGGTCCTTAAATGAAATGTTGGCTGCATTTCAGTAGTAGAGTGAGAAAAGGGGTGAAGGATTATTGGCCAGTGGAATTAATTGTAGGCTTCGTTTGTCTGGGTCTGTATCACGAATATTTTGCATTATCTCTCCAAAGTCAATATCCTCATCTTCCGTAGTATTTTAGTCATATTCAGATTGTCTTTCCCTTGAAGTTTGTATATGAATCTTTAATCCAAATCAATCGTTCACATTATCACATGAACGTAATTTCAGTTCATTTATGTTCTATTCTTTTATGTAGGTAAAAAATTATTATCACGTGCCATATATATTAGAACTAAACAAAAGTAATGTTTTGCAATTTCCTCTCATGATGTTGTTATCTGAAATATAATTAATTTATTGCATAAATTTAAATTAATTAATATGTTTAGTTCTTGTTGTTGTTACTTCTTAGCAAAGGCATATGATTATTTGTTTAGTTAAAATTTATAATCTCACGGATAATTATATATTTATTCCTATCAGTTTTTATTATAAATCACTTTCAATCATCTTAATTACCAAAACTAATGAAGGGTAATTTACTCATTAAATCTATTTTAAAGTTAAAAAAATATTTTAACCTTATCCCTATTAAAGAACACAAAGAATAAAAAAGATTTAAAAAAATTCAAATATGTTGTGCATTCCCTCTCTTGGGCGGTTACTTTAAAGCCATATTAAATATGGATAATTTTAATAAAAAAACCACAGAAGAGACTTAATTATTGATGAGTCACAAAAAAATTTAAAACTCCAATTCAGTTCAAGAGAGAAAAGTTAAAATAATTTCAACAGTGAAAAAAATTAAAATATCCTTTATTTGTTATACAAAATCACTAGTTGTTAATTTTTTTATTACACTTGTTAATTTACTAATATAATTTGCAAGTTATATGAGTTGACATATATATGATTATATAAAACTTGACATTAGTTATTTAATCCTAAGCAGCAATATCTATTATTAAATTGTTAACTTTACTTATTAATTTACTAACAATAATCATAAATTACTGACAGGTTTTATAATTTACTAACATCAATTGTAAATTACTAATGTTAGTAATTTACAATTGATGTTAATAAATTAACAAATAAAGTTAGTAAATTAATAATTAATATTACTGATTGTCTAAAAAATGAATATAATTTATAAGTAATATTGATAAATTAACAAGTAACATAAGAAAATTAACAATTGGTGATTTTGCATAATAAGTTAAGAGTATTTTGATCTTTTTACTATTGAAATTATTTTGAATTTTCTCTCCTAAATTTGAAGTTTTAGATCTTTTGATATCCATTAATACTTAAGTTTCTTTTATGATCGTTAATTGAAATTCTTTCAATTAAATATCCTGAGAAAACTCACACCACCTCTCCCCTCTTTCTCCTTGTCCAACGCGTACGACTAATAAAAGACAAAATAAAAGACAGTGCAGTGGTATGCAAGCAAAACCATCCACCATTACTTTTAATCTCCTAAGAAATTTAATGGTAGTGTGATCTGGGCTTAAAAAGTTTTTAAAAAAGTGGCAATGATGTGGACGAGAAGGGAAAAGGAGAAGAGATGAAAAGAGAAAGGAGAAAGAGAGAGAAGGCTGAAAAATGGGAATTCTTATCCAATAATTAAGTCCGACTACAATTGAGAATTCTAAGGCTATTTATAGAGACATAGGAAATCTAAAATGACAAGATGACGATAAGATGATTTAACTACTATATATATCTTATTTTATTTTAGATAATTTTTAATTATGAAAATAAAACTCTAGATAATAAACCCTATAAACTTAATTAATTTATATTCCATCATTTCCTTCCTGTTGAAGGAATAATTTCCGCCGGAGAAGTAGATTGCTAGTAGTGATTATGAAAAGTCGAGTCTATATTGCGGAATTCTTCTCTAGTGATTCAGGTAGCACTATTACAGATATGAGATTTAGTTACATACATGTTGTAATAATAAAAAAAATAAAACATCAGTAATATTAAAAGTAAAGTAGAGAGATGGTGTTTTTTATATTAAATGTCACAGCTTACAAATTATTTTTTGTTTATAATTTTAGTAAATACTTAGAGGTAATATTTTTTAAATGAAATGTCACATCTTCTTGTCAATCAATAATTAAGTGGCATTTCAGTTGTTAAACACCATCTATCTACTTTGTTATGATTTAAATATTTTATTTTGTATGATTATATAATCATTTTATCATAACTATATAATTAATATAAATAATCAATATATACAGGTAAGTAATAATTTAAAACTAGAGAGGAGGCGTTTCCTCTAGTTGGAAAAACCACCTCTCTGATTCATTAATTAGTTATCATGTAGTTTATAATTAAAGGATAAAGTAGCTTATTGGATAACAAAAATCTTGTTTTCAAGAAATATGAATCAATTTTTGAAAATATAGCAGTATGGCCTATTCATATTGATATATAAGGAATTTATCATTGATATATAAATATTTATCATTCAAAATTTATAAAGGGTTTATCATTAATATACAACAGTATATCATTAATAAATATAATAAACTAGTCATAATGCAAAATATAATAAATGTTATGTTTTTTGCTTGGTTTGATTATATAATATAAGCCATATCTACAAAAGCCCCATAATTAAAAACAAAGTGGTGGCATGTCTGAAACGCCTCCTCTCTTATCCTAAAAATTAAATAATTAAATATATTAATTTGTAAATAAATAAATTATATATAATTTATAAAATAAGTATTTTTATTAATAAGTATTTTGTTTTGTCCAATAATAATAAAGAAATAAAATTAATGATTTAACTATTAAAAAATTTTATATATTAAATTACTAATTATATATATTTATTATAATTTATTTAATTAATATTTAAATTAGTATGTAATATTATTACAAAATTAAACCAGAGAGGGGCATTTTTAGTGATAGGAAATGCCACTTCTCTGATGTTTAATTTAAATTAGTATTTTATTTTGTTTAATAATTTTAAAAAATACATATATAATATTATTTATTATTAATCACACAGGCTTAATTAAAAATTATATATAAATTTAATTAAATATATAATTTCTAAAAAATTTATTATTATTTAAAATATATAAATAATTTAATTTACTTAAAA